TCCACCAAAGCAGTTACAGTACCCAAAGCAAATCATACCATAAAGCAAACTACATTTATTTATTTATTTCAGTATAAAAAAGCGTAGCCCTAGGTATATCCTTGGCCGGCAGTTACAAATTGAATATGAAACACCACAAAAAGATTATCATTAAAATTCTATAAAAATTGTACGTAACATGTACATAATTTTTTGGATTTACATTTGATTTCCACACACTACTACCATATAACTTGGATAATTACATTGTTTATAAGTGGTGCATTCAAAATACAGTACTGTAAGCCTACTGTACTGCATTACCATCAAATACACATACTGTTAGGCCTACATCATGTAACTACTTGCTGCAGTGAAAGCGTAGCAGGATTTATAAAATCTTTAAACATTTGTATATGGTCCTACAAAAATACAACTTTTTTCTTTTCCTTCTGTAGATTACATAATTGGGGCTCAGTCTACTTGATTTTTCCATTTTGATGGTCAAAAAAAAAAATCAATATCAAATCTGTAAGCAAATTTCGCGCGAATATGGACTACAGTATACCCGGAAGCGACTTGCGGTTTTGTACATCTGCCAGCTTTATGTATGTTCTTTGAAATTGGCGCGTTCTGGGGGAATTCTGGAGGAAGGTGTGTTGTTTTGGAGTCATCCCATTGGCCTACCAGCCAGCACCATTGTGACGTAATCACATTGCGCCTTTTTCATTCATAAAACCGTCCGTATACCGCGCCACAACAGACAACACGCTAATTGTAGTATCGTAGTGTGGTGGCGGAAGGCTAAGCATCGTTTCAATATTTTAACATATTTTTAATTATTTATATAATTTAAAGATGGATACGTCTTACGTACAAGGTAGTCCAGATTCAGGAAACTTTTCCATTCACATTCATGATTTAAAGTCGTGTGATAAAAAGGCAGTAAATCGAGCATTGGTAAGTAACAAGTGATTTGTTTTTTTCCATCACCTCGCCACGTTCAGCACGCCTCCTTGCATTGAGTTGTCCTGGCTTTGTTCAACTTCAATCTGTAGGCGGTTATCCTGTGTCGTTCGTTTTTCTTACTTTAGTGATTCTTACCTTAATGATATAAGGAGGTTGTGAGTTTTAACTTGTAGAGTATTGCCAAAACGGCAATATTATTAAAAAATGATGGCGGTTACTGTAATTGGTTCACATTCGAAGGGAGATGTTGTTTCTTTCAATATTTTATTTTGGTAAAACCATTCGATGTATGCAGAGTATCGTAGTACTAGTAGTAGGCGTGGGCCTAGGTAGGCCTAATACTGGAATTCCCAGAAGTAGAAAGAAGTGATAAAATATCGTCAGCAAGCAAAGAATTGCAAATTTAGTAGGGGATCAATTTTATTTACATTCTTTTGATGATGTTAAAATAAGTGTTTGATTAATTTCTGAGAGGCTGAGGAAAAATAAATTTTATTCTGTGATTCTAATAAAGTAAAGACAAATGAGTTCATGCATTCATTGAAGAATTCATTTATTTTCCTTATTTATATTATCAGTTTTCTGTCTAACAAACAATCTAGTATTTCTGATTTAATAAGTATTTATGAAAGGAAGTGAATATATTTACTTGACCGTAAACAAATCAGTAAATGATATTTTTACGTGAAATAAATAACACATGCGCAGTCATACTTGAATAAACTTGCATTATCAGTCACATAAATTTATCGATCCTGGTTAAATATATGTTAATGTCAGTTCAACTTTCAGCACTCAAAATTAGCGTCAGCCCAAGCCACAGTGCCCAACCTCAGCACGGCACTGATTTAAATATAATATTGTTTTAGTATTTAGCATAATTTAATTTCCTCCAATAGTATGTAGTTTAATCATCAAATAAATTATTGTTAACTTTTCAAATAAAAGTGATATTATGAGATGGAAATATTTGTGTTCTTTTCATTTTACTTGCGTCATTTGTTGAAGCGTATCTAGCTAGGGGGACGGATGCCCCCAAAAAATTACTCGCAACCCCCCTATCTCCAAAAAAATCATGGTCAAGTAGTTAAAAATCACCTAAAATAACCATATTTTGCGCCCCTCAACTGATCATTGAACCCCCCCACTTCACGAGCATTAAGAACATCGAGAAAGACCATGTATAGAGAGCATGACGTTTCTATGACTCGCTTGTATGTTGTGGTCATGATGTGAGTAGAGTGAAGAGAATACAAATAGGCTTATTTCTAGCTCATTATTACATTACAATGATTCAATAATCTACTTAATTATTGAAATACACACTACTATAGCAAATTTAATTACGTTTAATATGAGTCAGTAAAATTATAATTAAATATCTATTTACGAAGTCTGGGATTGCTCATGTGCGTTGCTTTGCCGTTGATTCGATAATTTATTTTTCAATAATGGCTTTTTAAAGGATAGAAACTCCTTTGTTTTTACAAAAATTTGTTTGGTCAAGTTAATATATTTTAGTATGACTATACTGTAAACACTTGCACGTTTGTGAAAGATTTGATTTTCGTACATCTTGGATTCATGGTACAGTTTTTACCGTGGCTTGGTTGACGCTAATTTTGAGTGCTGAAAGTTGAACTCACTTTAACATATCACGTGACTAATAATGCAAGTATGACTGCGCAAGCGTTAATTATATCACGTAATTATATCGTTTACTGATTTGTTGACGGTCACATAAATTATATAAAAAATAATTTGATAAATAATTATTCTTGTTTTATATGATTGTAATTGTATATGTGCCATGCATCTTTTCATTTTGTTAAGGATTGTAAATGGATTGCCTATAATAAATAAACAGGTTTAGTTATACAGACCTTTAGGCAATTTTGAGATTTGATATGGCACTTTTAAAGCATTAATTGATGTGCAGTTCTTTTGATTTGGTTTTAGCCCTACCAGTCAAAATACATGAGGTGAGTGATATGGTTAATATTGGTGTAAAATATAAAAAACATTGTTTTTCAATTATTACACTGTATGCTTTAGGCAACATATTGTTTTGCTTGCCATCTTAATAATTATACAGTAAGTCTATCATTCATATTGCATTAATATTATAAAATAATAAATATGAATGATTCATACAGCACAATCCACTAACTTTATTGAAAGTGCCCTACTGTACTCTTACAATGATACTAGTGAGAGTCCGTCTGTGTTATATTTGATGTAGATGAAAAAATAAAGATTGAATTGATAATTAATTTTAGGATTTTTGTAGTTTTAGTAAATTTGTAAATTTTTGTTTGGTTTTGTGACCCATTGATTCTATATCCTTTTAGATTATAAGCAACGCAAAGTTTATTTTTTAGATCTTTTTTTAGATTTAACAGAGAGTATATACCTTTATACCTGGTATAGCCTACCAAATTAACAAACCAAATAGCATTGGTGTGACTCATTAAATGTTATGGTACAAGTCAACTAGACTAGTCCAGAAATTGCCATCTGTTTTGTGTGGGTGTGTTTGTTAAAAATTTATTCAATTGGTTGGAATCATGCCAACAATGGAAATAGTATAATATTGTGTTTAACAAATTATCATCCTGTTGTACCTTTAGGAAATAATTATCCCCATTTATTTTCTTTATGGTTTTCAATTGAATTTTTAATTTAGCGTAGCATTGTTAAAGTATGTTTAAAAAAGGTAGTAAAAAATGTTGATTTATTAGCTTTTCCTTTATGAACTTGTTCAATGTATATTACAGGGATGTCATTTTGAAATGAAATAACAGCAGGAGTTTCAGTAAT